GCGTTTATCATCCGAGACTACACCCGTCTCTTTCTTCACCGCTCATGCCCTCTCTTTCTGTCGCTGCGTAGGCTTTTGTGTGTATGAGTAAGAGTGTGTGTGTATATGTGTGTGTGAGCAAAACAAACCATAAATGTGCGTGGAAGACGAAAGACGAAAAAGAAAAGAGAGAATCCAAGTTTTTGTCAAAGGGTCGAGACCCCTTTAGTCCCCCCTTAGCCCACTAATCCCCCTTAACCCCCTCATGGCCATAAGTCAATGTCAATGGCACGCACACACACAGCTACACACACACTGTATTTCGGGGACAGTCGAACAAATTGTCGTGTTGACTTTCTGGGCTGATTTTCCACGTTTAATGAGACCTTGACATGCCATGTTTGCCAGAAAATTTGTTATTTGGTGTTTATGGCGGCGTTTAAGCGTCAGGGTTCCATTCACATTAGATCTGCAAAAGAAGATGGAATAGTTGGGGGGGGGATACTTGAAACTGGTTTGCAACTGCAGGCTGTCACTCACTCACACAGATACTCACCCATACAGATGCGCAGCAATAATGCAGCGATAAAAGATACAAAATGCAAAACCAGTTCCACGATGAGATTTAACTGATAAACAAAACGAAAAGCATGACTAATTTCGTTAATAAAATTATAATTAATAATAAAATTAACACCGGACACACAGATTTAACACTAGTTTCAATGGTTTCACTTGGGAAGTTGCAGTTTTATTTTTAGCTGATGGCTTTTTTGCGGTTGTTTGCTTTCCAACGTTTTGCGTTCATTTGAAGCCGTTGCCCGACGATTTCTTGCACGCCGCTCGGTCTCTCAAATGCCGGCAGCGACGCCGACTGCGACGCGGGCAGCGCTGCCGCTGTATCTGTGCGTATCTCACAGATATCGTAGCCCCAGCAGGCCGGAGTATCTGTGTGAACAGTATCTGTGAGGGCCTTTTGCCGTGGTATTAGTTTAGCGTTCATGCGCAACTCACACGCACGTGCTTCGAAATTTCCCTGGGGCACTTACACACACACACACACACCCATTCCAAAAATCTAACCTCTTTGGTACTTTTTTTAACCAAGCCAGTTACCGCTTTACTGAATCGAATTCGGGAAATTTCGAAATATATCTACCGAAATATCCCCACCACGTGCTGGGCCCATTGTTGTTTTGCTTTTGTGCTTTTCCACGCTGCAAAAAGCTCGCCCAGCTGCTTTAGCTTTCTGTTGCTAAGTATATAACCCCGCCCCACTTTTCCGAGCGGGTATCCAATCCATTTATGAGCCTCCTTCGCTGTTGTTGCAATTAACGACCATTTGAATTATATTTGCGCTCGTAAACTTTACAAGAACTCTTCGCCGGGCTCCCCCGAAAAAATAGGAAAAAATAAGAATAAGAAGAAATGCCAACAGCGCGGCGGCCTTTTCTCATTTTCCCCATTCATTTCGAACGTAGACAGCAGAAATTTTTACGACTTTTCTGCACAATGCGCAAATACAACGACAATGGACCAGTCGACCCGTTTTCCCCATCCAAAACGTTGCCCCCTCACCTTCGCCTGCCACTTTGACTTTGGATCGGAACTGTGCCTGGGGATTTTATTGTGGGTTTTCTCATTTCATAAATCGTTTGTTGATAACACATTTCGGCACTCGACTTATATTAAAAATTCTCTGGAATAGTTTGTAGGCATTTTATTACCACCCCTACATCAAGGTTTTGCAAAATCCAAATGACTTTCCTTAGATATTTTACCTAATCTTAAGTTACCTTAAATATTTGGTTGTTGTTATTGTAACGTTCTTTGCATTCTATAAAAATATTTTTAAATATATTGATTTTTATTTAATATCATTGAAAGTTAAAGTAAATATATTGATTTTTATTTAATATCATTGAAAAGTTTCAAAATTTAATAAAGATTGTATTGATTGCATTAACTATTTTTACCATTAAAAAATTTACTTATTTAATTCTTTATCGGACGCAATATTTCGGAACAAAACCTTATTTTAAAAGTGGCAGGTGTTACAATTTTGTTTATGACTTGACTTTATGTTTAGTTACATTTCTAAGCATTTATACTTAAACAACTATTCGGATTAGTCCAATAAAAAATTTTTCAAATTAAAGTAAAATTAAAATAATCAGGGTTCTTAAAGTACTTATACTTAAGCAAGTTAAAGGTAATGTAAATCCAGCCCATCCCATCTTTTTGTCTTTAAATACTTGTTTTCAAACGCATTGCACCGAGTTATTGCAGAATTTATTTGCTTGGCATTCTGGGGAACTGCAGTATGGAATTGTCAGATAATTGTTACCTTGGTATGGGTACTCGCTGTTCACCCCTCGGTAGATAATTAACAACCCTTAGCTGTGTGTTGCCTTTGCACCCTTACCTCTCTATCGGTGTGTGTGAGCATCGATGCGCTTACCCCTAATTGCAATGCCATAAAAAAGTGCAATTCAAGCGAAGGACAACCACCGAAGCAGAAATGTGAGAGGTGAGCGATGCGGAGGAAGGCTCTTGGCATTTTGCCATTACATTGCAACCATGATTACGATTAGAACGGGCATTGTCTTGCCACCAGCAACCAGCTAGCAGGACGAAGGACTAGGGACTCGGGACTCTCTGAGGACCCAGAACCCAAAACCAAGAAAGCAGAACTATCAGCAGCAGCAAGGAGCGATATATATATATATCAGGGGGTTCGAGGAGGGATCAAATTATGCGAAACTGCATTTTCACTTTTCGCATCGCCAAGCCAGGGCCATTTGCACCATACGGCCAACTGGCGGCGATGGCCAAGCTGCAGCTGCTCCTGGTTCCTCTTGGCTGTAAGTGTCCTGGCTGGCAAGAAGCATCCCTTTCTGCATGCAAATTCCCTCGTCTTTCTATAAACGAAAATCTCGAGAAGTGCAGCCAATCAAGTGGAAATTGCCAAGCTGCGAGATAAGTGCGCTGCCAGCTCCCCAGGCATTAGAATTGATAACACATACAACAGTAGCAACATCAGCTGAAACCGCAACAAGAACTACAAGAGCTAAAAGAACTGCAAAGTGGAAAAAAGTAGCAGAAAATATCAAAAAATTTAACAAATTCTAGTTCAAATGTAGCAGCAAGATAAGAGCTAAGAGCAACATTATTAAACTTATCAAACTATAGAAATGGCTTTCAAATAAAGGAAAATGGAAGCAACTTGGAAAAAACATAAATATATTGCAACTTTGACAATAAAAGTCATTGTTATATTAAGACATATTATAAATATCGCCAACACATTTTTAAAATGCTGCCTTTACAATAAGAAAAGAAGCAATTCAAATCAGTAACAACAATGCCAGCAACAGCATCACAAAAAAGTAGGAATAAATATCTACAAAACACAATAGACAACAGCAATATCAGCTTAAAGAGCAGCCAAGTTAACAACAAAAGGCTCTCTAGTAACAACAGCAACATAACTTGAAGTTCGAGCTGCAACCAGATAAGCGGCAGCAGCAACTTAAGATAGACCAGCAACAAAAGACACTGCAGCAACAAAAAAAAACTATTTATAAGCAGCAACAACTGCAGTTGCAATAGCAACGCCAGCAGCTAAAACAGCAACTGCACCAGAAACAACAGCAACATCATGAGTTACAACAGCAACAACATCTTTTACAACAGCAACATCATCAGTTACAGCAGCAACAACAACAGATACAACAGCAACAGCAGCAGCTACACCAGCAACATCAAGACCCGAGAGCAACATCAGCAATCGCGACGGCAAACGCGGGCGTTTAGCGGTGCGAGCGGACCGCCGCCGCCCGACTGTCGGCGCTTTTTTGGAGCCAGCGCTTTTGGGGGCGCGTGGGCGTGGCACTGGGGAGCAGCATAGTGTGCGCCCTGTTGCGCACACGGTCGTCGGATCTCTCTGATCTCCTCGCACGCCCCATAAGCCACTCCAGGTGCGAGCGAGAGGAGGCAAGAGCGGCCATTTTGGTGGGAGCGAGACGGCGAGCAGCGCAGCGCAGGCGTCGACAGCGACGGCAGCGTCAGCAGCGACTGCAGCTTAGGCCGCTGCTGGTGTTTGCTGAGCGGTCAGCATTGGAGACTTTTTCGCGGGATGTGTGTGCCGGAATCTTGGAGCACCAGAGAAAACCACAGAAATACTAAAAAAAGGCGAGGAAAGATAGAAAAAACTGCGAGCGGTCGACGGGGGAGAACTCGTTCCGCCGTTGAGCGAAAACGCTTCGAGTGAAACTCGGACCCAGGTCTCCGGGGGAAAAGCCGCTCCACAAAACCAGCAACACATTGTTGGAATTGATTTTCCAAACTCGACATCTTCGCTTTTTGTTATTAAAGTGGAAAAAACGAATTTCAACTGGGGACCTGTCGTTGGGCACACCTGACGACCTCACAAATGGCAACTGGTTGGCTCGAATTGGGTTTTGGTTCAATTAGTTGCCACCAAATGGCAATCTTGCTCGGGCGGAAAGCCAGAAATTCTCATTTGAAAATCACAAAATTTAAATAAATTTCAGGGCAACTTTCCTTTGAGCGCAACGAAGTGTAAATTATTAATTGTGGGCTATTTGGAATGGGTTTTGGAAAACTTACGGCCTTAGAAATATTAAGTCGGAGGTCACAATATGCTGAAAATAACTTTAAAAATAACTTTAATTTAATTAAATTTAAATTTCTTTTGTTATTATTCAACTGAGATAAAATAGATAATACAAAATATATCGATATCTTTTTTCCACAAACTCAAAAATTATTATTTGTTTTGCATTAAAAAACGATATTAATTAAAAACAAATTTTAGATAGGGAGATTTAATTGATCTTGATAAATGCATAAATTTTAAATATTTCAATCCATTTTATCGCCGCCTGTGGGAGTATCTACCAATTAATATTTGACCAATTTTACCCAAATCTGAAAACCAATTATATGTGTTTAAAAATCGACTGACTAAACTATATCCCCCTCTCTTCTCTTTCCAGGTCTGCGTCTTCGCGTGTGTTTGTGTGTTTTTATAACATTTGTGGATTACGCCTATAAAAACTACACCTCACCGCGGAGCCAGCGGAGGGCACCAGCTACCACAAAAGGGTTGGTATACGAATTTAAATATTTGCCTTTTATTGCCATTTGATATTAACACGAAATCGAGCGGTGCCGGGGATTAAATCAAAAATGTATAAATCAGGCAGCATTTTAAATAAATTCGCTTTATGGCGCTCCCAGCCACCGAAGTCGTAAAGTCTTTTGTCTAAACGGAGAAGCCCAAAAGCAAAATCCTAATTGCATAATGATTTAATCCTTAGCCGCGGCTCCGGTGCATGAATCGATCATAATTCCGCTCGGACAATCCATTAAAATTTCTCGCATAATCGCTTTAAAAAGCCATTAACATGGTCATAACTTCAAGCCGTCGGGATTTCGACCAATACCGAAACTCGAGTGCGCGAGTTCGGTTTTTAAGCTGAGCTTCGGCGGCCATTAAATGGGAATTCTTCACAAAAGTATGCATAAAACTTTACGAGGCATGTCTTTGTTTTCCCTTTTGTTGGTCCCGATTTTATGATTTAATTTGGCAACTGCTCGGCGAATGGCTTCAAAATGGTCACTCGAATAGCAATGGTGACCGTATAAATATGATTCCCAGTGACCGCTGCTGCACTGTCGCCCAGAAATTGCACGATTTGTGCAGTTTTCATTGCGATTCGATTATGGATGAGGCCATAAAGTGTATTCGTTATTGCCATTAGTCGCTCATAAATTGGCTAACGAATGTGTCGTCTCGACCCCGGTCGAAATGCTCCCCCACCTCGCCGGCCCACCTTGCCGCCAAAAGTTGCAGAGTTCAGGCCTTTCGATTGGCGGAGCCTTCACTCGAATATCCCCCAGAATCCGAATCCACATCCAAGAAGATACTGACAAAGACGTTATTCCAGTTTTTAATCTGCTCAATTGGCCGGCAAAGGGGGGAATGGGATGTCGCCATCGGATTGCGAAGGCGAAGTAATTAATATATTGCATTAAATGCTCGTAATCACGCATTTTTATTGGGGATCTCAAGACACACAAAAGCAACAACTGTTGAGTATGTCCGAGCGGCATTAGGGCGATGCACTTCAGATGGAAATGGGATTATTTGGGTAACCAATTTATGCATTATGTTTATATGAATTATTTAACCATAATATCATACTATTAAAAGAAGAAATAAATATTTGAAATTCATTGTTTAGTAATAACATTGGTAAGAGGTGTATTATTTTTGAAAATTTTGATTAGATAATATTTATATTTTGTTTGAAATTACCATGAAACATAAATTAATTTACATCTTTAATTAATTCCCGAGTAACCCTACTGCCCACTGATTAACTCCATGCATTAGCCGCACCTGCGTCATTTAAGCCCGTCCCAAACCACTCTAAAAGCTTGTAATCCGATCGAAAAACATGCAAAATATTAAATAAATTTTAAATATGTAAAATCGAGCCCTGAAAGCATTTGCGCCAATTAAAATTTTTTGGATGACAGGTGCGGATAACGTGCCACCCAAATAGCAGTACATTTTATTTTTTATCAGTGTCGTATATAATACAGTGGCTATATTTGCTATATATAAATATATTTCGAGTTGAAGTCTCATGATGACGGAAAATCGCCTCCACAAATCGTCATCCGCAATGGACGCTTATCGTTAAATGTACATAATGTGCTTTATTGTCACTTAAGTACAGATTTAAATAATTTTATGACTTCATTTCATTTGTGGACGAGCGCAGCGTTGGCGATCGTAGTTGCTGGCAGGTCTATCTGGCTTCAACAGTGCGAGAATCACAAAAACACCCATCTATATAAATAATAATCGGTCATTATAAGTAATCAATGACATTTGCACCCGCATATGAGCTCATTACGCTCCGTAATTACTGTATTATTATTTACTGCACAGACGAACAGAATAATGATGCTGATAATGGGGTCTTTGGATGAAAGAACAGCAGGAAATTATGATTTTTGAGTTATTTATTCCAAGAGAACAGGCGTTCGTAACATATATTGTATTGTCACATATATGTCGAAAAAATGCGATTCAATCTGAACTTAGATCACTGAATAGTTTATTTGGTAATAAGAAGTATTTTGTCAGGATTATATTTAGCTATAACCTAATGCAAATATGACTCCAGACTTTTAATTAAAAACTAAAACTTTAGTAATTTAATAAGATATTCATTCGACTAATTAAAAGTTAGGTTTTCAAAACACCTTAAACTAAATGAGCTGCCTCTAATAAATAATAAATGCCTACTTTAAAATAATTAAGCCACTTGACTTCGCTTCAACAGAGAGAATAAACTATTTTCCCTTGGGTGTTTTCTTTAGTTTTCCCTCTCGAAAGAGGAAAACTCAACAAACTAATTTGCGTTAATTGCCCTCCACAGCGCCAGTACACAATGGAGCCTCAAGTGGTAATTGCAGGCATTTCCATTACAAAAGCATAACAGTATCAATATGCCAGACATTTGCATAAATTGTCCGCTGATCGCTGGAATGTCGGGCAAGTCCAATAACTTTGCTCACCGAACGCCGACTTGACTAGAAAATCGTTAGTCGAAGTGCGACAGAAATGGTCAGTTAAATAAATCGAGAGATGTCAGCGAGACAAGAGCCAAGCGAACTTGGGACCAAAACATGGTCAGGGACTCGGATTTGGATTCAAAACTTGGACGCGGACATGCACTCCCAAACACCGAGAAAAAATCATCTAAATTTATATTTATAAAAAATATAGAGTGGCATCCTATGGAACGTAATGTACATATCCAAAATTGCAACGAATTCAAGATAAGTTATTTTATCGTCAGAAGTGATATACATATTTTTTTTTAAGTCATAAAGTCTATGTTGTTAAATATTCTTTTGTTATAAAACTTCGTATAAATTTTTCCAACAACCATTTCACTGGTTTCTTAAAAGTAAAATACATCTAAAATTCTCTTTAAATACCGCACAACTTAAATATTTTTAAAAATTCTTAATTTTTTGGAACCAATGTTTTTGTAAGTCACGATTTGTAAGACTTTTAATTCTTTCTCTCAGTGCAGTGGCATTCTGGAGTTTCGGTTTGATATGCAGAACAGCCACTCGCGTGACAGTCGAACCGCGGAATGGTTTGTGGTGCAGGGTGGAGTGGTGCTAGGTGGTGCAGAGTGGTTGCGGTGGGTGGTGCGGTTGGCAGATGGGCGTGGGCGAGTTAGTTTGTTGGCATTTCGCACGCATCCTTCATAAATTAGCGAGATTTATGCGCCGGGGACTTAGATTCGCTAGAAAGCGACTTGAAATTGCGGCGGGGACATGGATATGATGTGGAATCGATACTAAATTATCCTCTTTGGCGACAATCTTCCTTCTATTTCCCCTCCCTCCCCACCCCTTCTCTATCTCCTTTTCTCGGTGGAGACACACCCAGAAAATGCCATCTCTCTCTGCGCTCGACCATCTCTCTCGCACGCTCATTATGCGCACTCGTTTTTCGGAGTCGAAAAATCGATGGAATATGCAAAATATTGTGGAACCGGGATCCGCCTAAGTCAACAGGGAGATTCAAGTAACCCCCAATACATTCCAGAAACTCTTTCGAAATGGAATGTAAATTTGAACAGCGTTTTCTTTGTTTTCTCTGTCGCAAAAGGGCCACCGAGCTGTTGGCTTTCACGATTTTTTTTTTCGATTCTAAAATGCTTTTTGCTCTGCGTATCGCTGGGCTCCAAGTGTTGCCTAATGTAATCCGGCTGGTATCTGTATCCCACAGATACGAACGCACAGACCACTCAGTCTTGAGACTGGGTTTCAATTTCGGGTTTTTCAATCGTGCCTCTAATGCCCAAGGTGGTCAAAGTTGTCCATTTTCAGATTTTAATCGCTGGAATTTGTTTTAAGGCATCGAAATTTATGTGACAGTCCAAATTTTGAGTGTGACACTTTAGAAACGTTTTTATGGTTTATTAAAAAAATATCCGATTCAGCTCTCCAATCCCGCTGCTCGTTTGAATGCAGAGCGAAAACTAGTTTTTAATTAAAATCTAATTCGCTGGCTCCCAGGGAACAGAGATGGGGATAATAATATATGGAAGATGGGGGGATCGGGATGGGGATGGGAGGAGCACACTCTATCGAGGGGATTTGGCAATGCAGCGGGCCAAGTGGAACTGCACTTGAGTCCCTTTTAGGCCGAAACTGGGGGAAATCGATCGAAAGCCATAAAACAAAATGTTTATATTTCGAGAAGTCAAAAGTCAAATAGGAAACGTAAAGATCAACAGACCGAAAGCTGCCATTGGTGGGCTGTTTCGAGGGGTAGAAGAACATGAAAGGGGGAAGGCTCTCTCAGCACTTGGACTTAATTGAAATTTGAAATATGGTATTATGTGCGCGCAGTTCGGAAACAGTTCATAATGCCAAGCTCGAGCCAAGTTCGAGCACACGATTCTTGTGCTTGTTTATTGAAATGCTCGTAATTATCCAGTCGAGTGTAATGAGCAACTGGCTCAAGTGGAGGTGTTCCCATCCCCGCCCGCCCGTCGTTCCAGCCCAATGCCAATGCCATATGCACTTGTCCATGAAGGCAGTCCGTCTATATGGTCTATATGGTTAGCTACTGTGCTTATGGTAATGGAGGAACGAATACCGTGCGGGATGCTCGGCCTAATCACCTGCAGATGTAGTTCTCGATTGGATTATAATTGGAATGGCTCATATAGGGATGAAGGAATCCAGAATATTAAGAAACTTTTGTATGGGAACCTCTTTTGGATGATCTTAAAATACGATTCACTAGGCATAAAAAACATTAAATTAATTAAATAAAATCACCCCAATCAAATACGTGTAATTTCAGAAGATAATTGGTCCTTTGTTTTTATTATAAAGTTTTAAAATATTATTGGGTGAAAAAGATATCTAAAAGTCTATATTTAAGACTCTAAGCTACATACAATTTTAATACTTCAAATAGCAATCATTTTGTTTAATTGAGAAAATACACCACATGATCAAGTAAATCTAGTATTAAGAACATGTGAATTCGCGCT